TCGTTAGTTTAGCAGTAGGTTTGTTAGGTAGTTTGTTTGTTCATTAGGTAGTTAGTTTGTTAGATAGTTCACTAGTTAGTTATTTCATTTAGTCGTTAGTTAGTTAGATTGTTTGTTCTTTAGTTAGTTTATTAGTTCCTTAGATCACTAGTTAGTTAGGTAGTTATTATTTAGTTTACTATCCGGGCGTCGGACATGAGCGCTGGTTGGAGCCGTGAGTGCCCTTTCTCACTCAGCCATGGGGGCAGCACTGGGGACACGGCACGGACCCGTCACAGGGACTTTTGGGAGATGCGGCAAGTTGTCCGCAGGGGCTCAGGTTGTGCAAAGGCCCAGCACACCGCCCCATGCCTTGTCCCTGCTCTTGGCAGTCGGGCTCCTCTTTCTCTCCTTCAGCTCAGGGCTGTGTTTCTTTGCAGATATTCCAGCAGGAGAAGCTGCCCCTGTGCGCCTGTGCTCCAGCAACCTGGGTGAGACCTGGGCACGTGCCCCACCATGGGAGCAACGAGGGCTGGGCAGCGTGAGAGTCCACAGGGCTGTGTGGCCTCCCCTCACAGCAGGGTTTGGCTGGCAGGCCAAGCCCACGCTATCCAAGGTCCAATCTGGACAGCCCCCCTCCATGCCCAACCCCCCAGCAAGTTCTGGCCCTGCAGCCCCTGCCCATGCCCCCGCCCTGGGAGCCTTCCTCCTGGCAATGGCCTTGCTCCTCTCTGCTCCCTTGCAAGGTGGGGCCCACATGGGCTCTGGCATCCCTATCCTAAAAGCGGTGTTCAGTCCCACCCAGTCTGATGCTCAGCCCTCATGTCCCCTCAGCACCAGATGCCAGCCTGGGCACAGACGGGTGGGCCAAAACAAAACTGCCCTCCATTAAGGGGTCCCCATCTAAACCCTCCATTGGAGAAGTCCAGGAGAGGAGGGACCCTGCACCCGTTGATTTTGAGTCTGGCGTGAGCTGTGGAGGGACTTGCATGGTTGCATGGATAGGGGGCAAGGTCCTACTCCCTGGAGGGACTCCCACCCAACCCCCATAGAGGAAGGCCCTGCCCTTGTGGCACGCAAGACTCCTGGCAGGTGCCCCCAGAAGTTGTGTCCCAGAGGGGCTGGTCGCCCTGCGCCCTGGCAGCAGAGTGGGCCCAGCTGATGCGCGGCCCCTTGTCTCCCCTCAGGGCCAGGAACAGTGCTGGGGCCAAGCGACGAGAGGGGCCAGATGTGGCCACATCCCCCTGCTGCTGTGAGTCTTTCCCCTGCCCAGGGAGTACGACAGGTGGATCTGGGGACAGGGGTCTCTCACCAGGTGTCCTGTGCCCCCCCCCAACCCCATGCGGCACACGAGACATGGGGGAGGGTCTCCATCTCCGGGGGCCCTCCAAGAATAAGGTAAGGGTCGTGGGCTCATCCCCCAATCACAGGGACAGTCCTTCCCAAATCCGAGTGTCTGATGGGACCTGGGACCTTGAGCTGGGAGGTGGGGACTCACCTGAGGCAGGTGGTAACAACCAACCCTGGGGATCCCCAGGGCCCAGGTCTAGGAGCCCTGCCCAGCCCCAGGGCTCTGGGGGCCACCGACCCTGCATCATGGGGAGATGGGAACTCGCTGCCCAAGGGAGTCCATCGCCCCAGACGCTCTTTCTTTCCCCAGGAGGAGAAACCCCACAGCGGGCTGCTGTGGGTCCCAGCTGGGATGGGGGGCTCTGAGGGAGACCAAGTGGGCTGGCTGATGGTTGCATGGAGGGGTGGACCAGAGAGACAAGTCTGGGGCTGGGCCGGGGGATGGAGGGTGAAGGCAGGGCCAGAGGGACAGATGGGGGCAAGAAGCGGCTCCATGCGCAGACAGACAGGCAGTGGCATGAGGCCTCTCTAACCCGCACTGTCTCGTTTGCTGCAGTTTGAGATGAAGGCGCTGAGGGCCTGCCTGACTTAGCAGGAGCAGGACGCAGCAGTCCTCCTGTCCTGGTAGATGTGGGGCTGGGGAGGGGGCTGGCTGTTCCCGTTGTGCAGCACAGGAGCCAGGGCTAAAGCCCAGGGCCCATCCCTGCTTCTGTGTGAGTCTGTCCTTGGAGAAGGGCTGTTTTGTGGGACAGTACTGTCAGCCTCCCTGAGCCCGCAAATGTGTTTTGTCTCCACAGTGCTCAGCAAAAAGAGGAGCAGCTCCTGGTGAGTTTACAGATGGCAGAGGCCGGCAGGGCCGTGGGGCAAGGGAAGGAGCAGGCTGAGGCTGAGCTTGGCCAGGCAGGGTAAATCCCAGAGGATGTGAAAGCAGGGAACAGAGTCCTGGCACCTTGTGTGTGGGGAGAGATAGGCCCTGATGGGTGCCTAGGGAGGTACCGCTGTTGGGTGCAGACGCCCAATATGCTTGGTGCAGCCATGGGCATGGTCTGACGGGCGGGGTGATTCTGGTGCAGGCTCAAGTGGAGGAGCTGACACAGGAAAATCACACCATGGTGCTGGCCCTCAAGGCCCAGAGGGAGCAGGGCCAGGCTGTGGAGGACAGCCCCACAGAGGTGAGCTGCTCTGCATGCCTCTGCCCCAGGGAGAGGGGGAGTGTGTGTGTGCCTGTGTGTCCACAGGGCACGGCTGTGCCCTGCTGTGCCAGACCCTGCAGTAGAAGGGGCCAGGAGCTGCCATGGCTGTGTGGGTGGAGGGCTTGTGTGCGTGGTGCTGGGCACCATGTGATCTTTGTGGATGTCACACTGTGAGACTGGTGGGGTGACATACCTGTGCTGTACTGACCTCCCCTGCTTCGTGGATTGCTGTCCCCCAGCCTTCCCCCATACTCCACCAGATGCTAGCTCTGGGCCAGGAGGTTGGATTTTGTTCTCACTGCTACTTTGTTTTTTCATTTGCAACAGCATCCCATGGAGGGGGTAATGGAGGAGTGCCCACCACCCTGGAGGGCATAAGTGGAGGACTGAGAGGGGAGGGTGAGGTGCAGGGCTCTCCTGGGTAGCTCGTGGGCTCTGGGTCAGGCTCTGGGGTGTTGCAAGTGGTGCTTCTTGCAGGTAGGGGAGTTGTTCCTTCTCTGGTGCTGGAGGGGATGAATTCAGTCTAGGACACACTTCTGACCGGTTCCTTTCTGTGCAATCAGGAGCATCAGCCCCCACTAGGAGAAGGGGGTAGGGTCCCACTGGGACCCAGACTTACCTGCCCCTCACCACAGAGGCCAGCACCCAAACCAGGGCCCTCTGTCTGGGCAACATGGGGTGCCAGGGGAAACCCCTGGCAAGGACAGCGGCGAGCACACAGAGGCTCGCCGCTGTCCAAAAGGAGCAGGACACGGGGAGAGGTATGGTGCTTTTTGTATTGTTAGTGTGTGGAGGTGCTGGGGGTGTGTTGGGGTGCTGCAGGGCAGGCTGGAGGTGCTGGGAGCAGGTCTGTTTGCAGGTTGGGGAGTTCTTCCATCAAAGGACCTGTTGGGCTTCAATTCACTCCATGATGCATCTCTGACCAGTTGCTTCTTGTGCAATCAGAAGGAAACACCCCTCCCAGGGGACTGAAGCCAGGATGCAGGAGAGTGTTCCCCCCACCATGGAGGCCAGCACCCAGGCAGAGGGCCTCCAACATCAGGACACCTTCACCCAGACAAGGGCCCTCTGCCTGGTTGATGTGGGCTGCGACCCCCTGCCCCCCTGGACCAAGGCTTTCCAGGGTCCGAAAAGGACAGGACAGGGGGAAAGGTAGGATGCTTTTCCTAGTTTTTTTTTTGTTTTTTTCTAAAGAAATGTTTCATGTTCCAAGCCAAATCAGCCAGATCCGTGATCCAATCCAGAACCATAAGTGGCCCTACAGCCAGCAAATATGATGCTTTCCCTTGTGTTGGGTTGGGATCAGTGATGTGAGCTGAGGGAGGGCTGGAGCCAGGAGTCCATTCCTGGTCCTGGGAAGGGTCTCGCAGGTTGGGAGAAGGACGGGTTGAGGGCCAGGAGCCCAGGGAGGGAAGAGGTGAGCGAAGGGGAAATGACTAGTGTGTCTTCAGTGAGTGACTTGCCCACGACTCCCTCCAGTGCCCGGGTGTCTAGGTGGGGCAGGGCTGAGGCAGGGGCACCACAGGCCTGGGCTCTCTGTGCTGGGAGTCATCCCTGTTGTGTATGTCCAGACCTCAGCCAGGAACCAGACCTAGGCGCAGGCAGCACAGAGGGAGGAAGAGAGGTGGGTCTGGCAGGGCACCCAGGTCCAGTCCCTGGTACGAAGGCAGTGATGGAGAGAGGAGAGGCCTGGACATGGGGTGGTGGCAGTGGCTGGAGCCTTGGGGCTTGGGGTGAATGTAAGGTGACCAGTGTCTCTGCCTCCCACCCCTAGGGCTGACACTGTGGCAGGGGGGAGAAGGAGAAGGTCGGGGGCAGCAAGGAGGTGAGTGTCCCCCCTGCACCCCAGCCAGCCCCAGGCCTGAGGGGCTGCTCCTCCGCCAGCCCACGTGATGATTGGGTGCCCCCTGCCTCCAGGCCACTCAGGATGACCTATCCTGTCTCTCTGCCAGGGCCCTAGTGCCCTGTATGGACCGGCTATCTCCTAGGTTGGCCCCTCATTGCTCACTTCTGGGCCCGAGGACCCTGTTGCCAGGGGTTCACCCTGGGAATCAGAGCTCAGAGCTTCTGGCCCAGGCCAGGCCTGTTGGGACAGAAAGCCCCAGTGAGCCATGTGTGAGAGCCACGTTCTGCTCCCTGCTGGGGAGACTCTCCTTTACCCCATGGTTGTTCCCAGGGGGATTGGAGGGGCCCCACACCGAGCATTTCCTGACTCTGCCCTTCTCCCACAGGTTCCACCCGGCCCAGATCCTTCCCTGCTGCTTCACCCTGAGGAGGTGACGACCCGCACTCCTCCCCTCCCCTTCCACCCCTGTTGTCCCCTCCCTCCATCCTCCCCTGCCCGATCCAGGATGGACCCACGGGACGACAGTGTTGGTGCCTCTGCCTGTCTGAGCATGTAAGTGGTTTCTCACTCCTTGTAGGTTTCTCCAGCCTCTTCTCTTGTCTCCTTGTCTCAGGCCTATGCACTGGCATGACCCACTGGGGTGAGACGTATCTGCGTCTGGCTTGAGCCTATCACAAACCCTCTTGCCCCTGCAGTAGACATCTCTTCCATCTATTTGTCCTATCCCCTTTCTGACACTAGGTCAAGCCCAGGACAATTGCAGTGAGGCCTGGTGTTGGCAGTGGTATCCTAGCAGAGAACAACAGAGGGGTGAGGGTGCTGCAGCACTACAGACTCCCTGTGCAGCTGGCGTAGGCATAGCAGGATGCCTGATGCAGCCCGCTGCCTGACTTCCCATTGGATCCAGAGCTGCCCTGTTTCCCAGGGCCAACAATCAAGCTGTCACAGTAAGTCCTCTGTAAACCCTTTCCATGTTCTTTGAAGTGTAGGGCTGCCTGACAAAGGTCACGGGTGCCTTTTGTGGCTGTCCCAAAACAGCAGGTAAAGCTTTCCCAAAAATAACCTTCATTTGTGTTTTCACCCGTCTTTTCATGTTGAAAGGTTCATGTACAGAATGAGTGACATTCAAGTAGGGCAGTGATGGTGCAAGTAAAAGGTGCATATCATAGTTCCCTGCATACAGCATGCACCAACATGTAACATACACCTTGTTCTTGAAAGTCAGAATGAAGAGAAAAAGATCTTGACTTGTAGTACCTAACTGGGGAGCACAGGACGGAGTCTTAGCCCACTCATTGCTCCACACCCTGTAGATCACATGAAGATTGGACTTTTTCTTTCACTTTTGGCAGGAACTGTTCTCACCCTACGTCTTGCATGTAATGAACAGTGGGATTGCCAGCAGTGTTGGTTTGTTTTGTTTGCAAAGGGGGTATGTTGTATTTTGAAAAATACAGTACTTCCTACGCTGACATCCTAACATGCCCCTGATCCTGGAGGACAGGAGCTGCTGGGGAGAGGGAGTGTTGCCCAGTGTCTCAGCTCTTCCCAAGTATCCTGCAGAGCTTGAACGAGAACAGCGGGGCTAGGCTGATCCTCTGTCAGTTTTGCTGTTTCCTAATATGCACTTTGCTGCATTGGGAGTTTGAGGAAGCCCCAGTCTTAGTGGGGCGCTACAACTCAAGCCCCCAAATTTTGGGCAGGGCAGTTAGCTCTGCTACTGCCAGTCCCACCCTGCAGACGGGCATGCATTCATCCCTCAAGTGGGCTGGGGAGGGACATGGGGCACTGTTTAAGCTGTGACCAAAGCTTACATTGGGAAGGCTGTGGCTGGAGTGGGAGAGGAGCTTGTGTTTTTCTCTTTTTCTCTTTTGCTGAGTATCCTGTTCCAGTTCTGGCCTCTCCTCCTGCAAGCACCAACCCCACAAGATCCTTTCCCAAAGCTTAGAGTGATGGGCAAAGTGTCTGTGTGTGTGTAGTCTGCAATATGCTGGTTACTAACAATGGCTGCATGAAGAAAGCTACACAGAACTAGCCCACGCAAGTGCCTTGCAGAAAGGTCTTCATTGTCCTGATGTGGAAATCGCTGGGGATTTCATTCATGCAGGCTTTTTGTTCTGCTTTATTTTTCTTGCTCATAGGCAGAGGCCTGTCCTCCCAAGGCATCCTTGCAAGGATCGCAACTGTGATGTGATGGAGAGAGGCTTGTCTGCTATTGTTGACATCAAGAGCAATGCTGTCTGCGGGTCTGTACTTCTGCTAGGGTCACTTGTGTTGGCAAAGTGGACAGTGAGCTTGCCAGGCTAAGAGTGATCCAAAAATAAAGATAAAAGTGATTGAGGGTTGAGCATGCTGATGAAGCAAGACTATTTCACGATGGTGGCAGAGGCAGACGGAGACTGCAGCAGAACAGGTATCTTCAGTGCTCTCAGTTTTCCTTGGCATGGCATTCAGGTTTCCTTCCTGTGAAGTACTATGGGGTTGTTGTTGCACCATTTCATCCCCACGTTAAGAGAAGACGTGCACAAGCCTCTTGCTTCAATAGCAAGTCCCACAGTGATGGGTGAGTGGTGATGGGGGAAGACACTAGTGATTACCTGAAGCCCCTAGTCACGCACCTGCCCCTTGTCACAGACCTTTGCGTACAGAGACACTGACTGCACAATATGATCTAATCACAAAGCAACTGAATGAACCATTGAAACTTATGACAGGAACTTTCAGAAACAGTCGTGTTCCTTGGCTGTGTCTTCTATCTCATACCCCTCCTCATCTTCGACATCAAGAGGCTAAAGAAAGAGTCTACAGAATACTTCCTATATTCAATTCACTACCAATGTTTGAGGAACTTGATGACCCCCATAGGTCAAGGCTTATGTCGAAGAAGGCCAGTTTGGAGTCTGGGGAAAGAACTGAATCACGAAAGCTTTGATATCAAGGAAAATGGACCCGGCAATGCAAGACAATTGACCTCATTTATACATTTCTTATCATGGGCCCCACATATAAACCGCCTGGCTTTTCTTAACTAAGGCAGAGCTAGACTACACTGAACAGGGTGGACAACTAGCTGCTTTGTAAGTAGAATTTTATTAAAGATACAAACTGGGAGTGCAGCGAGATCCATTGCAAAGTCCACCTCAGCACAGCTACAACCAGGGCAGCGCAGGACTCCAGCTGCCAGCACGGCCACAGCAGAAGCTCTCCTGTCGCAGCCCGCTCAGATTTGAACAGTCCTCAGATTCTGCTGGATCCCTGTCGTCAACTATCTCAGGCGGGACATGAGAAGAAGACGAGGAGAGACCAGCCCCAAAGGCTGCTGGATAGATCCTTGTTTGATCCGTTCCATCACATCCATGCGTACAGCCACACACTGATGTCACAAAAGAAGCAACTAAAGCAGAGGTTCAATCTCAAGTGCTTGAAAAACCCTGCTAAGAGACATCATCTCCAGCAGCACCTCTGAGAGAATCGTGCCAACTGTCCTGATGCTCTTGACACCACTGATTACTTGAGGAAGAGCAAGAGCTTCAAGAAAGGCATCTGTGAGGCGTGGCAAAAATCTCAAGGCTTCTCCACAAAGAAACCTCAGGACTAGTTTAATGAGAATGATTGGGAAATGCTTGCCTTCAAAATGGACAGAGCACACAGTGACATCAGCTCCAAATAGAAGTACCCACATTCATTACCTTCAGTACAGATCATTCACTAGACGGCCTCTGCCACATGGACAGTTTTGCACACGTAGGGGAAGAATGCATCTCCCCCTATGTGTGTGTTAGAAAAAGCCACCATTGAATAGGTGTGTAATCCATAACATGTAATAAAAAGACAGGAGAATTTCTTAGTGCTGCAAATCCTTCTGAAATTTGCGGTGGACTCACATAAGGGCTTCACTGCAGAGAAGCTGCTTGGGTTTGGTTTAGCGCACCCTTCTGCCCATTCACCTTGTCCTTGCTTTCCATGTTCCCTGAGGGTTTTTTCCCTCTCTACTTGCCAGAGGAGACTGAGCCCTTCCCCAGGCTGGAACAGGCTCAGGTCTCAGATGGCAGATCCCATTCCTATTTCTATGCAGGTGCTGTCCATGTGGGAGCTTTCATCTTTGAGGTCCACGTCTCTGGCCTGATACATGCAGAGGTCCCAGTAAGTGTAAGCACATGGGGTGCTCCAGCAGGCTGCAGAGAGGCTGCTCCTGGCAGGGGAAACACCATGTATCTGGGTCCATGAAGGCAGTTTTCCTTAAGTGTTCCCAGGGATAACTGTTCTTCTAGCGTGGTTTAGTACCCGCCAAGGTGTTGGGGCTTAAAACTCACTTTATGAAAATGGGAGGCTCCTCCCTTGCTTCCTCCTGTGTCCATATGGCTGAGGCCAGGCGAAACTTGGGGGCATCCGAATCCCAAGCGTCTGGGCTTGGGCCTGAATGTAGGATAACTGCCAAAAGACTTTGGAAATATCTGAAGCCCTTGGTGGGGGTGAAGGATGTTTGCTGGTTGTAGGGCCACTTCTGGTTCTGGACTGACTCACTGATTTGGACTTCATTTGGCTAATTTGGCTTGGAACACGAAAACATTTGTTTAAAAAATAAAATGTGCCTCAAAGAATGCCAAAGCGGTTTCGCTTTCATGGCCAGCGCTGCAGTGGCTCTTCTGATGCTAATGCTAAAGGCTTCTTGCCATTTTTGTTGTGGCAAAACAAAAATGGCAAGAATGCCATTTTTGATCTTTCTGCTCTGTAAAGACATGGACCACATCTACAACCTAAATTAGGCCTGAGGCCAGGGAGCCAGGGTGCTGTGGAACTGTCCAAATATATACAGGCCCCCAACCCTAAAATATTAAAACAGATTTGTCCTGGAGAAGGTAGGCAGCCTGAATCTCTTTTCCTCTCTTACTGTGTTCCCCGTATCATGGAGTCATACAGGTCCCTTCCCTGAGCAATATCAAAGCTATAGTAAACTAATGTGCTGCTTCCAAGGGCTCCCATAGACCCAGGAAAGAAGGTCTTGTCTACAGCATAGTGAGCTTCAGTGGGAGCCTTTAGGGGGCAAAGCTCCTGGGTGCGTATCTGCAAGTGCATCCAGATCACACCACACTGAGCCAAGTCACAGCAGCCCTAGCTGGCAGGGGAGCCAGGGGGTCAACTGCACTCAATGGGCTGCAGAGGAGTTGGCTGGGGCATGAGCATGCTTTGGTGAGGGGCTAGCTGGCAGACAGCCCCAGCACGGAAACACCCTTGTGCCCCAGCCAGCTGGATGGGTCTATTGGCATGCTGCTGTGCACAAAAAAGCTCTGCAGCAATGTATTTACAAGTCCTACCCTGCTGCAGAGTTTATTAGTTTTGTGCTCTCTAATAGACTCATGGACATGCTGTGTGGTTCATTAGGGAAGGCCCTCTGTCCACTGATCTCGGGCTACTCATGTCCAGCCGCTTCCTAGGCACATGATGGAGCTGGTTTATTGAGTTGCTGCAAAAGGTGAATCCAGAGGCTTTGCAGAGAGGTACAGAGACCCTCTCCACACCCTGCCCCAAACCTGATCATTCCCTCTTACTTGCTTTCAAGCTGTATACCAAATTTCCAGGTCCTATGAAAAAAATGAAAGATTTTGATGTCTAGAATTATAAGGAGGGTGTATTAATGTAACATTT